GTGTGGGTGGTTCAGTGATTTTATGATGGCAACGGTTGACAGAAATTTCAAGTGGTGACAATGTAAGATAAGTAAGCAGTAATAAATGAAGCCAACGTATTGCCTGTGATGCCAATTGAGGTTGCTGTTGTTGTTGTTGTCACTGAAACTGTGACATTTCGGTAGGACTTTTATGGTTATGTGGACGATTTTCCGCGGCGCGCCATTTTTGAATAGGCTACCTCAACGAAATGTTTTGTGAGTCATTTTTTTGAAAATGTCGATTGGAACGGCAAAGGTATTAAACACAGTCAATCAGGTTGATGAGGGAGGGGTGGTGGCTTGGTTGGGGGAACGGTCGACGGACTACTTGAACTCGGTCCTTTAAGCCGCCTCATCCGATGCTCTCGTCTGCGCTCTCTCGCCTTATCAGCGGCTGATGACCACTGTGATCACACATTCAAACTTTTGCCACACTGTAATTGGCTCACCCACCCTGGAATTCCTCCAACCCTCCAAGGCTTAGTCCTAGGGCTCTCAACTCCTTTATTTCAGAAGCCAAGTCAGGCACCCTTCTCTGATTGTCTGTGCACTCCAGCATTCGTGTTAGGACCATAACGTTCAAGTAACCCGTGAACAGGGAAGAAGGGGGGAACCCTCCGAGGTTCTTGAAAATTTCGAAATCGCCACAACGTGACGGTTTACCCTGATTACAATCCGATTTTATGGACGCTGCCACCACCAAACGGTTACTTCCCTGCACACAACATCCTTCCCAGCTTCTAAAAATAATGACATTGAAAACGAAAACTGTGGTGCACAAGTGAACGTAGTAGCAATGCATTCCTTGTTTGTAAACTATATTTCGCACAACACAACAGGAAATCGCATACAGTCTATCACATGAAGATTCGTGTTGCAAAAACAATTAACACACATAGCAAAGTAAATTTGATAATACCCAAAAGCTAAAAGTTGGACACAAAAGACCGTATTCACCGGAAACATTATTGCGTGCATCAAATTTTGTCGACTTTTGTATACAATAGAATTTGTCAGTAATTTCTTTACAAGTATTGTTCACTAACACCTACGCAAACTACCCACTACGCCGAATCGACCTCAACGGTTAAGCGAACACTAGAAAATATCGCAATGATTGTATAAAAATTGACAAAAGGGAACATTGAACACATATATAGCAGCATGTTAAATTGGCTGCGGAATAAATGAACAGCAATGCAAAAGAACAACGGCTCCTAGAAAAATGTAAAGTGGTATTCAGTGAAGCAGTATAGCTCGATTTGTAAGTGAACATTCATAGACGCGATGTCTCATTATCACTCCTAGGCTTTGCAGGAAGTGGTGGCTTAGAACGTGCCGGTAGTGGCGGAACATCCACAGACACCACTGTCTTAAAACTGAAAAAATGTCAATAAGCTAAATTAACGATGTATATCTGATAGCCTCTCAACAAAGCACGCTCAGCTACTTTCGAAGCAAGAGTGATGTAAAACAGCGCAAACTAGTCAGTGAACGTTCCTCCGAGAATACGCCCGGACGGCAGAAACACGCCTTTTCATGGAAACGTCTGACTAATTTCTTATTCCTGGGATGCACACTTCCTCTTTTCTTTTTGCACTAATCCCTTTTTAAATCCTGTATACAAAGCTCTCTCTAAAAACTTTCAGGTATCTACCTCACTGAGGAGGGGCGCTGATATTCAAAGTGGAGACATCTTCCAAATTGGTTCCGTGACGACCCACCGAAGACATCGCCCGCGTTATTAAGTACTACACGACAAGTCCGATTTTTTGTGTCGACGATAGGAGACGATTTTCCGATTTCGAGTCCCTCCTCTTCTTGCATCATGACACTTTTTCACTACTGCAGCTTCAAAACGATAGATGAATGTATTTCACTACTAGCATCCTCCATTAATGGCGTGGTATTCTACCAGTTAGGAAATTTTTATATTGGGTTGTCTCATAATTCCCGTGCGATTTCTGCTCGAGACCAATTTTCTCCTCTCTAAGACCGTTCAGGTTAGTATGTGAAAAAGGCATCAGATGCCTTCATAAGGTGATTTCAAAAGAGCAAATCCATAACGGACTATAGGTAACAATCAATATAGGTCAGCAACAAATACGAATGAATGTGTTTTACATCCTTTGAATGGAGGCTCCTTGCAAGGGGGACAGAACAGAAGGCAGGACCACCCTCTGCTACTGAGCAGGCACAGGATGAATTTAATGTTATATTCTGAGATGTCTGAGAGCTTCGAGCTGACGTGGTCAGCCTCATACCCCTCTAATCACTTATTGATCCGAGACTCACTAGTGACACTATACTGATAACTCAGTTACGTTATACCAGTTGGCGCCGCAGCGCATTGCGCGCGCAACACAGATCTGTGGCGAATTTTGATGGTGCGACGAAAAATTTCAAATTTGGCTTGATACAATATGAATATCTGAATTCTCCGCCAAATTCTATGCGCTCTTTCTTCGTCAACCATTATCCTATTTTTCTCGGTCCTCGGCCCGGACAATAAATCTCGTGGCGAACTCCGTCTACTTCGGTGCGTGCCCTGCCGACCAATAGCATTTGGCTCCCTTCTTTTCGCCGACCTCTACCCCCTTTTTCACCGGTCTCTGGGACCTCTTGGAACCAAATTACGACACTTTTGGCAAACTCCGCCCACTTAGGTGCGTGCTCTACCCACTAATAGCATTTGACCTCCTTTCCTTCGCCGCCTACTCCTTTTTCCCAGCCTCCTGGACTTCTTGGGGCCGAGTTATGAATTTTCGTCGCAAACTCCGCCCACTTTGGTCATGTCCCTCCCACCATTGACAGCTGGCCTCCACTCCTCCACCCACCTCCATCCACCTTTTCCGCGGCCTCAGGGACTTCTTGGAGCCAAGTTATGAAATTTTCGTCGCAAACTCCGCCCACTTTGGTCAAGCCCCGCCCACCATTGACAGCTGGCCTCCACTCCTCCACCCACCTCCATCCACCTTTTCCCCGGCCTCCGGGACTTCTTGGAGCCGAGTTATGAATTTTCGTCGCAAACTCCGCCCACTTTGGTCATGCCCCGCCCACCATTGACAGCTGGCCTCCACTCCTCCACCCACCTCCATCCACCTTTTCCCCGGCCTCCGGGACTTCTTGGAGCCAAGTCATGAATTTTCGTCGCAAACTCCGCCCACTTTGGTCAGGCCCCGCCCACCATTGACAGCTGGCCTCCACTCCTCCACCCACCTCTATCCACCTTTTCCCCAGCCTCCGGAGCTTCATGGAGCCGAGTTATAAATTTTCGTCGCAAACTCCGCCCACTTTGGTCCAGGCCCGGCCACAACATCGTACAACTGGCCTCCACCCTCCATCCCACCTCTATCCACCTTTTTCCGGCTCTTTAGGGCTCCCCCGACCCAAATTATGAGGGCTTGTAGAAAATGCTGTACACTTCAGAGCGCGCCCCGCCCATTCTAGGCGGACCTCCGCCCACGTCATGTATGCGGGAAACACCTTAGACATTGCTCCCTTACACCGAATTGTTTTCTGCTCTGTAGGCTTTCTCCCAACCGAGTTATGAAATTTTTCATAAAGCACTGCTTTTTTAGAGAACGCCCCGCCCACCGGGGGTGGGTCTCCCTAATTCGATGTTACTTACCAATGCACACCTTAGCCCACTTTTTGGCCCAGTTTCGAGGTCGTTTTTTCACTGAAATCGAAATCTTGGTCTTTGGTACAATTCATTTCGACGCACGCCACGCCCTCTGTGGGCGGGGCTCCGCTTAGCTGATGTGTGTTTTGTATTACGTGAGACCCTGCCCACCCATCCCACACTTGACCCGGTCCCTCCAGGCGGATCCCGAGGAGCTAGGGAATTTCGTGACAGACATACAGAACGACAGAGGGACAGAACGACAGACAGAGGGACGACAGAACGACAGACGAAGCGCTTTATAGTAAGTAGGATATACGGGCGGACCTCCGCCCACGTCATGTATGCGGGAAACACCTTAGACATTGCTCCCTTACACCAATTGTTTTCTGCTCTGTAGGCTTTCTCCCAACCGAGTTATGAAATTTTTCATAAAGCACTGCTTTTTTAGAACGCCCCGCCCACCGGGGGTGGGTCTCCCTAATTCGATGTGACTTACCAATGCACACCTTAACCCACTTTTTGGCCCAGTTTCGAGGTCGTTTTGTCACTGAAATCGAAATCTTGGTCTTTGGTACAATTCATTTCGACGCACGCCACGCCCTCTGTGGGCGGGGCTCCGCTTAGCTGATGTGTGTTTTGTATTACGTGAGACCCTGCCCACCCATCCCACACTTGACCCGGTCCCTCCAGGCGGATCCCGAGGAGCTAGGGAATTTCGTGACAGACATACAGAACGACAGAGGGACAGAACGACAGACAGAGGGACAGAACGACAGACGAAGCGCTTTATAGTAAGTAAGATATCTTGGACCAAGGGTCTTCCTATGTTTGTTTTACTTTTTGAAAAATTTTATACGACCCCCTCACGCCCAACAGGGCGGAAGTGGTGTAGTGACAAGTGGCACGCTCACCACGCGAGCGGTCCGGGGATCAAATCCTGGGTCGTGAGTCGCCCGGGCCAACCAAGCCTTCCATCCCTCCGGGGTCGGTTAATTGGTACCAGACTTGTCTGGGAGGATAAAAACACTGACTTGAACATCGGCTGGCCCCCGCAAGTCATTGTATAGGCCACATCGCATTCAAACGCCACTGCGAATGTACAAATGGAAGTAGAATGCGTGCCGCATCCCAAAAGGGATTGATCAACGGCAACTTTTCCCTAACCTCCACCATCTCATCTTCCGTCAAACCCCGCCACTTTCCTTCGCAAACATGCCGGATCGATCGGGAGGTATTCCCTGTGAAACGGTAAAAATATTTTCCTTCTATTTCCACCATTTACGAACCCATTTACCTTTTACCTATTGAAACGGCAAATTTATCCTGCGCGCCCTCCACTCGCCCAGCCTACTACCCACGAAATCTTAGTTTCACCTCAATCCCACACGTGATTTCGAGCGACTAAAGTGGGTACGACCCCCCTCCTACAAACTCAACCAGGTACGACCCCCCCCCGTTGTTACTCGTAACAACGTAGGGTTGACCCTGGTCCGGACGCTGCTATTAGGCACTTGCAGCAGATAACTGGGCGCAGTCAAAGCACTAGCACTATCTGAATGAGATAGGCTGGAGCAGAATGAAGCTTTGCTAGAAATCGTCCACACCGAGCAACCATGAATGAGAAGCCCGCATGACCACCTGCGAAAGTCTACCTCTGTGGCCGATACGGGACTTTCTTTATCACTAATGGATATGTGCGAATCCATACGACGACGACACGCGACATGGCTCGCAGTCAGAACTCACTACTTCAACCGAAGCCCAAGCTCCGTGTCCAGAGGTTATTACTTTCGGTGTGTTGAGTTGGCTAGATATGCAGTTTTAGGTACGGTTTTACCGTAAGTAGACAAGCATTGTCGTGTCAGCGTGGAACACCCCTCAAGATGAGCCACAGTAGCGCGAGAGCACCGTACAAAACTTCTCAAAACCTCCTTTCTCCAAATGAACACCCGACCTCACATTGCAATGCCAACTCGCCACGTTCTGAGGGAAATAGCCAGGGCCACGATACCTCATCCACCATATAGCATTGGCATCGCTCCATCGGACTATCGCCTCACCTGCGCCGTGAGTCAGCATCTGCCAGAGAAAAAGAGCTAAGGAATACGACCATTTTCGACCCCCAGCTTCACCCATTGTGGGAGGAGAGCATCCAAACGTTCCCTAGCAAATGCATGCATAAACAAGTTTCAAATCTCGGACAGGAATTACGACACAACCCATTATATTTCCTGCTATAGCCGCTCATCGGGACATAGCGGGTTTACCCACACCTACTTACCTCGGCGGCAGCACTGCATCGCTAATTGTATATTCATGCATGTGCATATAGGCACATATGCGCTGTTTCGTAGAATAAGAACGGCATTTGAGGGTCTAATTTGGTTGTTCCCAAATCTACACACCACATTATTGGTCGAGATTTCGTATCGTGAGAGCAACCTTGCAATACCGCGAGAGTGTCGACTCCGACACAATTAGCCTAGGTTATTGTTGTTAATTTCATTTGAAAGCTGTGCAAACTATATCAAATTCATGTATAGAGGGAGAAACGTAAGAAGAGATCGAAATGCTCGAAAAACCATATCCACTCACCTATTGGACACTTCCAAGCCAACAATATCCTCTCGATTTAGTATTGTTGGTCGCTTAATTGAACTGGACCCACTCGAAGAGGACGAATTCTCAACAATGACAGATCGAGAAGGACGAGTTCTAGGAACAGGAACAGGCTCAGCGCCTACGGCCTTGTTGTACGACAGTGGACGACTGTTACTACCTTCTGATCGGAACGTCTGGAATTAATCATTTCAAGTGTTCAAGTCAGATATACTTCAAAATCGTAATTAAATGATATACCAAAACCCACAGGTGGTGGAGGCCGTTGAGGAACGTTGAACATTGAACTTATCATCTCGCCGTGACTCCGAGAAATACTACTAGGAAGCGATTCATCCTGATACTCATCAAATGAGTCATCAGATTCTTGAGCTGGCGTTGGAGACATCCCAAAAGACTCATTCAAGTCAGCGGACATCAATGATTGGCCTAGAACTGCTGCATGAGGAAATATTCAAAAGCAATCGCTAAAAATTTCCTGTTCTACGTCCCTATAAACGTTTCTATTATTCGTTGAGACGTATTCGCACGACCGTCTAGGAACATGCGATCGATAACTGTTAGTCACAAAATATATCGCCACTGTACACGAATCAAACATTTCTTAGTTTTATAGTAAAACCTCTACCATTCCTTTCTTCAGAAGTAAAATTGACGTGAAAAAAAGAAAAAATTGGAATTGATACAACTTTAAACCGACCAAATCACCGCATTTTCCATTCATGCACGAAAAATGTTCAGAGGAAAATTGATCGAATACGGACAGGCTCAACTCTTTGACTGTCTAGTGCAAATATGGCACATTTTTGTATGTGTAGCAATCGAAATCAAAGGGTCAAGCAATGTCACAACTAGGCCGGAATGGATGAATGTACAAGACTTACTTTGATTGAAAGTGGAGTCATTCATTCCTGTTGATGAATTGTGAGCTAGTTCTGTATCATTGCAGTCATCACTAAGATCAATTAACGAGCCTAAACGTAAACATAATGTTAAGAAAATTCTGAGCTCCTGCAAAGTGAAGCACTTCGGAAGATATCAGGATTAGCAACAACTCACTAGTTTTCGGCTGTGCATATGGCGGTGGAGGTGCGCGTTCCTTTGGTCTGCCACGAGGAGAGGTTCCCAGTGATGGAGCATTTCCACTATCAAGTCTAAGGCCAGCTATTAATTATAGGAAATAAAGGCGAAGAAATACTGTAAAACTAACCTATCCTTCGGCTGAATCGGTCTCGATGGTGTACCTGTATCGACCGAAATGTTTCGGGAAGAGTTTTGTTGGCCATTCGACCCACCACCAGCACCCCCGTGACCATTGTTGGACACCACGGGACATCCAAAAAGACGAGGAGCGTTCTTCAATAATGTCTCCACAATCTGAATATTGGGAAATTAAATACAATTCTAAAGTATTCCAGTAGTACTATCGAATTTCTGAAAAGAACTCAAAAATGTACACATTAGAAGACATTAAAATGTCGCGCCTTTACAACGAGCTGCACCTCTAAAGATGTAACATAGTTGAACAATCTCCTTATGATTTTCGCAGCACATATAATGCTCAATGAAAAGAATGTATAACAACAAATATGACTATTCGTTGGCATCACGAAACAAAGATGAAAAGTGAAGCTTGATTACCTTGGTCCCAACAGCATTATTTCCGTCAATATCACCACCCAGCAAATTCGGTCCGAATACAATTGCAAGATTACCACAATTCATACTGGAAAGAGCCAATTGTTAGGTGATGTAAAACTAAAATGAACATAGATAGAGAACGAGTAATTACGCTGTCTGCTCTTGGTGCTGCAACATTTCAGAAAGAAAATTGATGAGGTAGGTGAGGTTATGTCGATGACATGCCGGTAGTTCGCCTATACATCGCTCAAACGCCTGCAGTTTCGCCTCATCCTCGAGCCTGAACGGAACTCTTAATAAACGAGACGAAAAACGAGAAGAAAAACCAAAAATCTATATTGGATGGTAAAAACCTTATTACTGATACAATGATTTGTCGTACGAAACAAATGTTTTTTCATCGCTTACTTTGAGGCGTTTACCCAGTCGTTATGGAGCCTATGAGTGAGAAGTGGATCAGGTAGCTCTCTCAAATAACTCTTCAGTACGCTACACACTGAATGAGGATCGAGAAAGTACGCACGCTCATCACTCTGTAATCAAACATTTAGTGTAACATCAAAAGAAGAACGCCAGCCTCACTAACATCTATTTGGCCAGCATCAAATGCGGACTTCATCCGTCGAATTTTTGTGTTGTTTCCATTAACTCGGAATAATCCTGGAATTATAGCAACGATAGAGCTATAACAATGACTCTGATAACGGCGTTACATAAAGAAAGAGTGCAAAAGGTATAGGTATGGTGATGAAAATATTAGCTTATATGGGTAAAAATTAAGTTTGGAGGGAGGGAGAGGTGCACTCCTCGCTACTTTATCCGTAGAACTAGAGGACACTCCTTGGGGCCATTCAACACTGAATAAGTTAATAAGCAAACGAGTAATTTCAAGCTCCTCCACCTTTAAACCTAGGCAGAGGTCTATTTTTCTGGTCCAGGACCGTTTCCTTGGACCATGGCAGGCGGAAATGTGAAAGCATCTCAGGGTTTCTTCCACATTACACCGATACTTATCAGAAGTATACTTTAAATGAGTCGATTACGTGTCGTGAGCGCTCTAATCCTTATCTTGAGTTGGAGAAACAGGAGTGCCCCCCCCCCTCAACTGACGTTTCACCGCATATGCTCAGGAACTTCTCCACAGCTCTTCAAGAGCATGAAAAGGTATCAAAACACTGGTAAAGAAGAACGAAAAAAAGGACTGACATCAATACGGCATAAATCATGCGCACTAAAGAAACTGTAACATTAATAATCCTGAAATTGGGAAACCATTCGTACCTTTCTCGTTAAAACCACTAGACCTCAACATCGTACAACACTTTTCCAAAACAACTGCGACACGTCCCTGAGTGTGACGAAGATGCTCGCTCAAATCAACCCCGAACACTGGACGAGGACGAGCGTTGTCTGGAATGCCACCGAATTGCTCGAAAGCCGCAACAGCCAAATTTGTTCTCATATATGTAGAACAGGAACAACTATTCCTTATCCGATTGAATGAGGTAAATTACCAATATCACGGCGGATTTCGGGCAAAACCATTTCAAGTGTACGCATAGCAACACGATGGTATTCAAGTTGCTCTTCGAGTAATGCGGTAAACACCTGAAATAAAGGTCAGTATTCCTTGCCTCCTGCAACCTCATCATGTTTGGAGTTTCTTGAATAGACCTTGTACAGCTATCTTTACCACAAATCACTGGTGCTCAGCGATAGACTTGAAGGTGTAAAGATTTCAAATAGACATGACAAGGCATCGATCATTACGCTTTGTGGGTCAATCTATCACAGTGATCCAATTCTTTATAGCGTTCGCACTAGCGAGCACGCTCGCAGTGTGACAATGTAACGTGGCAAAAGCGAAGATCAAATTCTTTCTCAGCAAGGATAAGATGCTCATATAATGCACTATAAAATGACCACAAAACTGATAAAAGGGCAAATGTAAAGTACGGACGAGCACAGACACGATTGCACATTAATTCTTGCAAAGAACACTAACCTTTGCGATTTCCTGTTCTCTGGCAGCTAATGAATACACGTCTGTGATGGTGTTGTCCTAAAAGTTAGAGCTGAGGCAGTTGAATACAACAAGAAAAGCCGTTCGTAAATCCTGTCATAAATTATAATCAATCCATACAACCGTAGAGAGAAACATACTTTTTGATTTTCAAGCTTCAATTGAGAAGCATCGAGGGTGTCTTGAAGCTGAGCAATATTGCTACTGGTACTATCTGCTTTTTCCAACGCCTTCTTAGCAATATCGACATCTAAAAAGGCACAACTTTTGCAGGAGTAAAGCAAATTACTCTTTACAGTCTAACATATGCCCATAGTAATGCGCTAACTCAATTAAATGATCCCTTTCAAGATACTTCTAAAATAAACCACGGTGCACGACTCCTCTGCAGGGCACCTGTTTTGCGGCACATGAAAACGCATTGTCAGCTGTCACAATCAGTGAACGCTGAGAATACTGATTTCGCACGACGGTGCCTGTTCGGTCCATCAACACCAGAAAAAAAAACTTTCCATGGAAAAACAATGCATTCCATGTGAATGCGAATTAGCCACTCACGAAGAGAGAACAAAAAGGTTTTCTATAGAATCGAGGATTAGGATAATCTTCACATATCTGTTCATGAAGTACAGATTATACAACAGTTACAAAAGAATTGCTGCAGCCACCATATATCACGCAGAAAAGTATACTAACTAGACTTATGCGATAGAAATGGCTTAAGAGAAAGGATGAAACTCGATTGCAGCGTCATTGGACATATGATTGGCTCACTGTTCTAGGACTGATGTTCCCTTAAAAGTACTCCGAGAATGCCTCACAAAATATTCATCGCTCGGTGTATGTACCCTCTGAATAAACACCTCTTTGCTTCGCCTATCACCATTAATCATCATCCCATTTAGCTGCATTTATCGTTAAATTGGCAAATGAGACAGCAACATTAACGAATCGAGTCTGCTGAACAAACGAGCCGGAGATTTCTAATCAACCATTTCCTACCCGAGATCTTTTCTCAAAAAAGAATGAATAACTGAGGAATAAAGTACCGCCATGAACTCCTTGGAACCAATTGTGCCACTGCAATCATGACCTGTAACCTTCCCATCGAAGAATAGTATGAAACTGGACTGAAAGTGCCAACCCCTTTTTTAATATACAACGTGTACTTATGGCACGTCCACGTGCGCGTAACTACCTCTACAAACCAGAATGAAACAGTCGACTCCGCTTGAAATGGAGTACGTCGACCGGTCTTATCACAGCATGCAACGATAGATGTGATAAAAACTCGGATCGAATGTCACCTTGCTAGTAGTGCTACTGAATGGATGAGACGGATTGCGCTCACTCAAATATCGGATAGCTGCCGAAGCTGTCACGTATCGGTGCAAAAGAACTGTGAAAGGTTTACTTTCCACTTTTTGCACCATTTACAATTACATTGAGCAGCAGCAGCGCAGCTTTACAACCACGATAGATCGTATTAGCCACTGGATTTTATAAGGGGACCGCATCCTAAGAACAAAAGTATAACCATTGAGAAATCTTACGAAGCGGTAGAAAAGAAAACACTTCCAATTGGGAAAAAAAAGAACTAGGAGCAACAACAAATCCTACAGTACACTTAAAGCTAAACAGCCAAAGTACAGTTACAGGGATCATTCTTGTTGACTGCTTCAAGATTCATCTTGCCCGACAGTTCTGCACTACATTAATAATGCGTGACATAAAAGAACTCAAAGTAACCTAGTTCAACGTAATAAGAATAACAGAAAAAGTGGCTTGAAAATTCCCACGATGTGAAGAAAAACCACTTACCCGTAAAAGCGTTACTTAAACGTTCTCTGCTTTTACACAACGCTTTCTCCATCTCTTGAAACTGAACCAAATCATCAAGAACCCGTTTTTCGATCATCATGTCGTGCTTCACCTGTAATAAGACACAGTTTTTAGCTTGCAATCCCTTTTAATTGGTTCATAGAGTTGGTGTCATGTTCGTGAGGTAGGAATGGAATTGTCCAGAACCAGCTAGAGCGCTCATGTCCTTAGAGGGGACATTCAAAACAGGGCATTCAAAAACCGCTGGTAGGTGACACTAGGACTAAGCCCAGGATTGGGAATAAACACCAGGGAGAACAATGGTTGCTCACATCCTCTCCCAGAATCCTTTCCCTTCCCTAAGGCTTAGTTCCGAGTTCTATTAGTGGCCCACTCACTTCAATGTCCCACCTAAGGACATGAGCGCCCTGGCCTGTTGAGCTAAAAAATGCTGTTCACTCGGTTTCAATTGCATTGGGACAGCACTGGGTGATAGAAAATGAAGTTGGGCAACACAGACTCAGAGAGGCTCCGCGGCTTCCAACAGCAAATAGTAGTAAAGGTCTAAGGCACGCCTTGAGGAACCGCGCTATCTCATGCACTTGTTCCACTCTTTACAGTCAATGCATGAGTTTGACCAACAGCGGAATTAGCTCAACTAAGATCGCACCAAAATATATGGCCAAAACAAAAAAGAAAAGTACACTCTGTTCCTCGTAGCGAGACGTGTTGTAATTGCGGACTCAGTGACACACGTGGCGAAGGCTTCCAAAAAGTCGAGTGTGCACTTTCATGCTCTTGACTCTATCTGATACTGTCTGAGCTGCTAAGTCTATAATTGCACAATTGCGACACATTTTGGCGCGCTAAACGGAAAACATATGTGCAAGCAGGCTCGGGAATGAAAGCAAGGTTGTAAGGGAGCGCGTAATTTGTAGCATCAATATGAACCACTCTACCCTCTGTACAATCCCCACTACAACACATTCACGACAGCGCAAGTCACATATGGCCGGCATTCTCACGCGAGGAGACGCATTTCATTCAAGCTATTTCGTGCTGTTTTGTTTCAAAACCGCTGATATATACTATCGGAAAATTGTAGAAAAAATATGCGGATAAGTTCATAACGGATATCGTTGATTCTACTTTTACTGACTGGGTGAATTTCTGCCAAGAACGGTGGTGGGGAGGGGAGAGGGTGCTGGCCACTAAGTGTATACAACATCATTCATTGCAAATAGTTCTGGAAATGCACTTCCAGCTTTCTCTCACCTCCACTCCTCCCATCTTGAGGAACTACTACAGCCATCGCTACTTAATCATACACCATATGCACGACGCTATTCATCATGTGCTTGCATGCACAGATTGCCAGCAAATTTGATACCACATGACGTTATTAAAAACTACTTTAAACAAAGCACTATGACACATAGTTCACTCATCAGAGTATGACTTAAAAAGTGCCGCCGCTATCGCGAGTCCTTGTCATGGAAATGGTTTGCTGTAAAGTGTGAGCCCTGCGAAAGTAAATACCACGTAGTATAAGGCTTTTATCAGGGCAGTCATGGACCCTATTAGCAGCGGAGTTACAAGTATAACATAAAAAAAGAATGGAAGGAAGAAAACAGCATATAAGATAACCTAGAGGTCAATAAATGCTGTTACTCTGGAAAACCTGGTGAGCTTAGCCATGAACATAGCGTAGCCTAAAGGCATTGCATGGAATCGCCTTGTAAACAGTCACCAAATTGCTCTCTAATACTTCTAGGTGAGACTACAGCTTTAGGGGATCACTTTATTAGGTCGAACAACGGTAAAGGTGAAAGGAAAGTTTTGAAAAATCCAAAAAAACTTAAGCAGTACCTTTTCATCGACAATAACCTGTAACGCCTGGCTGATTTTTTGAATAACCCGGTGAAGACAGGTAGTATGCGATGCTTCCAGGTCCGTCGAAATGTCCCGCAAATCCGCACAGAGCGCGAACTCATCAAGCTTTTTCTGGAATCGATTACCGATCAGTCAAGATGGCTGTAAATTTCACAACTGCCGCACAACACAGCTACTACACATATCGTAACTGACGGCCACATAAATTAACTTCACACTAGCGTAGCGATCGTTATCTACAATATGAGGAAGGCAATAAATTGTGGTCTGCGGTGAAGACAACGAGAACGTCCGCGCGCGGCCACTCAAAAACCCTCAAAACAGAAATCTTCAACAAACTAGTACGGAACCACATACTCGACGTTTATCGACATTTTCCTCTCGAAGGCCAGTTTTAACTGTGTTGGACACATGCTTCCGATATATGGAGACCGCATTGATGACCTTTTGATTGCGATGCTCAAGGGCGTTGACAATCTTCAAGTCGTCATCATCTATTTTATTAGAGCTGAAAAAAGAACAACAATAGCAGCCACTCTTACAAATAGCAAAGTAGAAAAGATAGTAAGTAAAGCAAAACTAAGGTAAGAAATGAAAGAAGAAAGAGGAAAAACGAAAGATAAAATCCCGTCGGTAGTGCGCTCGCATGACCACATATTTTGAAGCGGATAAGGCCGACGTCATACTTTGCGATTCGATTAGCGAATCGCTGGAGAATCGCTAGCGAATCGAGCGAATCGCTAATCGAATCGCAAAGTATGACGTCGGCCTAACTGTGACGAAACTTACTTGACAAGATTGTGCTTTATACGACGAAATTTCTGTCCAACATCTTTTTTCGCTTTTTCCATAATAGATGCTGTTCCGCATCCAAACTACAAGAAGTATCACATTACAATGACGACCAATAGATGACAAAAACGTATTCGGCTGGCATAGGACGGCTCAAAAGAGACCCGACTAGCGATGATGAGTACGGTAAAAGCCGGCAGTATGCCCGTATAGATCGAATAATCGATTGCAAAGAGTTAATTGAACCTACAACTAGATGAGGCGGACTCGCAATGATAACTGAGTCATCCGCCACCATGCATATCAATTTCAACCATGTATCAGAGACAGGCCCGCTAATCGATTGGCGATTTTATACGCCTATCAGACAAAGTTCACACCTGACCTCAACCCTCTGCCATCACTGAGCACTTTTCCACTACACGAACAAGGTCACTTGAATCAGCGTTTTATGTTTCGTGTCAAATTAAATATTGATCAAATCGATAAAGAGGAGGTATACATCGAACGAATGTGGTGAACTGAAAAGTTATACTCGGGCTAAACCACTCCTTATCAATTGTCCTCATGATCATGACAACGAACACCAAGATACACGACCGCTGGAACGAGAAGCAGCCCTCAAAGAACCAGTTGTGAGGCGATAGTCAGAGCACAGAGACGCAGAGTGAACGATACGTGGTCAGGGACGCAGAAGGCGAGGTCTATGTTTGAATAAATGGTATCGACAGCACAAAAATGTGACTCATCTGTAAGCTCTCAGAAAATCCTCACGTCACGTAGTAGGTCGTTGAATTGACTTTTAATATAGCGGAAAAAATCAATGAATATTTATGTGGCCCAGGGACTTATTGAGTCTTCTGCATGCCCTCTTGTTCCATGTGAAATTTGAAGCGAATAAGGGTAGGTTTATGGATTGCAGACTTTATTCAAGCAGGATCTATGGAAATCTATTTGAGCACACTTTTTGGAGGAAAAAGACGGCGGCGATTTGAACCTGATATCCTCCTCGTATCATTCGGCATCAGAACAAATTTAATTTGAACCTATTAATTTTCAAGTTAATATTAGAACTTAATCGCTTCCTGGAATCTCGTGAAGGTAGCTTATTGTAGAGAATAACTATTGCCTATGAAAGAGTTTTCAGTGGAATTCGCATTAGAAATGAGTATAAAATGTCGAAAAGCGGAACACGGAATCACTTTACTTCTATGACCATGACGGATAATATATTGTATAATTCTTGGAAATGACATAATACTTGAAATTGGCAACGTAAAAATGTCGGCGCAGCAGAAAACCTCTTTGGTGTATCTATAGGGTGAAGCTTCGGTCCAGTTCTTGCGGAAGTCGGAAATCGGAAGACCGGTTAGCGAAATAACACGTGATGAGGAATCTGTCAAAAATTCTCCGAATTGAATTATTTACGTTTTTTTTTGAAAGTGTTAACTCTTTGGAGTTTGTCTTTATTTTGCATACTGAATTCACTCGCAATGAAAAACTCGTAGAATCCATGCCACAACTGGAGAGAAAGTAGAGCAACATTCTTACATTATTTTACTTTCATTATTTATTGATTAGTTTTACAATGTAATTCACTATCTTTGTCTGTCACCTTTTACAACGCTCAGGTAGCTTCTCAAATCTCAATTCAGAACGAAGGCGGCTAATAGTCAATCTCATCAACGTATTAAGGTTGGTGGTCAATTTTTTTTGTAACCAAAATAAGTTTAAGACTCGATGCAGAGTGGTATCCATCTGGTGCTTGACCTGGATAACACAATGGGTGGAGCAGGAGCTCTCAGCCTAACCGTAGAATTCTCTGAAGGGCTCACTTCGCGACATGTGGACACGCAATAAGGGAAACGGACATTTTTGTGAACTGTGCAGGTAAATCTGGATTTCTGCTGAGCATGAGCATTGAGCTCTACTGCCACAATCGCGCTGATGTTGAAGCTTAGTTGAGCTTCCCTGGCGTTCGTTCCAGAGCTAATGCTCCTTACGCGGGGTGTAGGTCTAGAGGGAGTTTCTCAAGATCGAAGGCATTGGTGCAGGTTGAACGCGCCAAGAGGAATGACGGTACCAGTGAACGTACATACTACAGACGTTGTTGGTCGCTATAGTGAAGTCATGCCCACGGAGATATTCGTGGAATGAAACTTTCAGCTGTAACAATACTTTCTCCAGAGGCTTAGTGGTTGTAGCGCTTTTGACCCCCTGTGGATGGAAGCACTGATAGTGTCCCTATACTTTGTTCACAACATTTACCCCTGAATTTTCAAAAAAAAAATCGAAAGGAGATTGTTGCAGAACCTTCTTCCCAACCTTATAGTCTGCCATTTCGCACCAGAATCAGTTAGAGAATGTTTGAGTTAGGCAAAAAACGCTGTGCTAAGGAAACCGCGAAGTTGGTTGTACCCAAAGATCACTGTGAAGTTCTAACTGAGTAAGCACCCACGATGGAGTTAGGTGAATCAATCCCTCCGTTGGATAAGATAGAGCTGTCCACGACAGTCGCAGTTGTGCCACCTTCGTGGCTCGAATTTGCGCACAAAGGACTCTATAAGCCTACTTCTCCCACAAAAAGGCCCTCGACTCTAGGCTCCTGCCTTTTCTGCTCATCCATGATGTTCCCTGATTTCCGAATCTATTTCTCTGCTCGATGCACAGTGACAACTAGCGCTCTGATGTCCGTGGCTCGTGGCAGAGTCCGCGATCCGTCGTGCGATTCGCGCGATTAGCGAATGAGGTCGCGAGATCACAGAAATCACAAGTGCTCCGATCAATACTGCGAGGTGCTTCGCAAATCGCGTGATGGATCGCGAACTCTGACACCAGCCTCTGCGTTGTAGAGTGCTCGACTGCTGGGAAAAGTGATTCCTTATAAATATTAAGTGTTGACGGAGATTTCTAATTTTTTCTTGTCAATAGAGGTCCGCTTCGTTCCTCTTCTTTCATAAAGTACTACAGCACCATATTGGCTGGGGTGTGCTTTTAAGCACCATTCCCACGTTGTTGAAACCACTTGAATGATCTATCTAAGCTTCTTGCCGCATACAACATCCCTATAACCGTAACATCTGTTTAGGATTAGGTATGTATCACTTCGTTAATTACAATATAAGTAAAATGAGATTAGAAATTAATAAAAGAGCTAACGTTGGAGGGTGATCACTGAAACAAGAGGTCCATTCAGATGACTGTCGATTCCGCCATACAAAGATTACTAAGTTAATCTAAAACCATTGACAGATCCACATCCGCTAGAAATTAACTATTCGCCTTCTGCTACGAAAGCGATTGATGAGTTGAATTATGGGCTGCAAGTGAAATAAATGGATAATCCGCAATTGCATTTAGCAATCACAGCGCCAGCCGCTTGGATGCATTCGTTTGTGACAGAACTGAAGGAACATCGGCGTTATCAGAATGTAGCCAATGGGATTCAGAAATGAAACTAGAGTTGTGGCTTCGTCTATGAGAGAGAAAAAGCAAGGGAAAGAGCTGAAAACATCAGAATAATGTCCCCTCTTTGCAGATGATTCATGGTACTGCACGGGTCCATGTCGAACGATGTACAAGTCAGAACAGTTGATCCTAACAATGAAGGGATTAGATAGGGAGAGACGAGAGGAGCAGACAGTAGTGTGTTATCATTTTTAAGGCGTAAACTGGAAAGTGGTCGGGGGGGGAGATTGCGATTGTAACAAGACCTTCGCCACGGGCCTCAGGTTGGCGTCAGAGTCCGCGATTCGTCACGCGTTCGCGCGAACTGCAAAAATCGCAAGCGCCTCTTCTGAACATTGACACTGAATGTGAAACAAGAACGACCATGAACAGTCGTCGTTCAACCAATTGGGTTAGAGAGCACCTCGCAGTATTGATCGAGGAACTTGTGATTTCTTTGGTCCGTCGCGCGGTTCGCGCGAATCGCGGACTCTGACACCAGCCTCAAAGTCGCGAAAACGGCACAATTTGCGGGTTCGCGGAGCTGTCTGCCTCATCAATATATTGGGTTGTATTGCTCGGGTAATGGTGGAATGTGCCTTTAAACTACGGTGCTCATCATAGCTCGCACATTTTATGCTTTCACCTACCATGAAGTCCTCAAACCTATTTGACACTATCCATCAACCTGCTACATGCCAAATTTCGACGCTACTTGTGATCCGCCTTTTTGGTAAACCTGCCATGTATACTAGGATACCCGAGGGACCACTTTGGAACCAGAGACACTTCCCTCCCCACCATCTGCAGGTTTCATTGGTGCACTTCATACTACACTAATGGCTTGAAATATAATAAGTTCAAAAATAATGAAGTTCAGTCTTCCAACTATTTCCCGAACATTTTTCAATATTTGTTGACAGAATGAACAGTTTTTCTTTGTTCAAGTTTTCTAGGCCGCTATTGCTATAGGAGCGGCTGCAAAACAAAACGTAAAGGCCAAAGTTCCATTCTCATTCTCTCAGACCACTTGTTTTCGTCATTGCGCTCCTCGTATATGGTTTATAAGAACCGCTCTTCATTTGCCCTTAGTTGATGGCCGTTTTCTTTCATGAATCACCATGCCTTTGTCTTCTCGTACAAGCGGGCACATGTTTACTGCACGTGTTGATGAGTCAAACGAGAGAAACGGTTTTGCATGTCCCTTCAATTTCTGGACAACGCGCCTCAGGGGAATTCGTTCCTACTGAAATCGTAGCGATATCCTCTGCCATACACGCATCCCACGTTGTTTTCGCCTCGCTCTTTGCGTTCACACACTTGAAGCACTTGAGGTAACGAGAGAGGAGCCAGTTTATCTATCATTGACGGCCGCGAGGGTTTGTCGGCCCAGCATTCATTGGCCGAAAGTGAATACCACGGGCTTAACGCTAATCCTCTATTGCTCGTGGAACTTGTCCTGAGGCTCTCTATACTACGCGGTTTTGACACGAATGGGCAAAGAACTATGGAAACAGGGGTGGTTTCCGACATTTTCGTTTGAATGACCTATGCACTGGTGTGGGTATACAGAAATGAAAATGGGAATAGGTCTGAGAATGAATGAATGGGTTTCTTGGAGGATGCCTTTGGGAAGCACCATGCGGCGATACTCGCTATATGAGTGTGGGCCAGGACATTTTGGTCAATACCACCCCCGCCTTCTCCTCTACTTAACTTGCCTCTCCCCTTTTCTTCCTATGGTGATGTCATTAGCGCTGTTTAAACTGGTTCAACCAGCAACGCTTCAGTTCGGCTTCCAGAAACTTTTCTAAAATTAGCGTCAAGCGAGTGGCCTGTGGAAGTGGGGGAGGGGGGTGGGGAGAGGGCGTGTTAGCGCTATAACGTCAAAATTCACTCTTGCAACATTTTTTATATTTCCCAACCTACACCTGTACAAGAGCTAGAGGATAAGTGTCAGCAAATGAACAAGTGAAGAAGTGGGGAAGAAGGAGTAGTCTTCCTTGAAGTATTTCGCAGGAATGAGCCATGCACTGGGGTTTAATGTGGATATCGGTAGAGACGTGCATTAATATAAAAGAATGCAGCAAAGAGTGTGAAAGAAGAAGTTTTTTCCTCCTACTAGTCCTAAAGCCGTTTCTGTAGAGTGAAGGAAATAGCGACCATAACCAGGAAGGGGAAATGCTGCAGTACGAATGTAATGTAAAAAAAATCTTTAAAAAAATGTAAAATGTAAATGTAACGCGATTCTGGAAATGCTTGCGCTATTTCTATCTACATCTACTCTCCTAATTTTCTCAGCTCCATGGAGATTCGGCTACTGGATCATATGGTGATGCACTAATCTGTCTTCATATCAAACCCGATTTTAGTGAATGTTTCAGGAAGTTATGCCCATAGCGGGTGTTACGTTTTATACCCAAAAAGGGAAATGTACCTACTATAAGGGAGTCTAAGCTCATCAGAAAACGAGGTGAAACGATTTACTGAGGTCTTCCACGTCCCTATGCCCCCCCCCGAGCGACTGGACGACATCGTGATGGATGCTGATCCCGCTATCATTATCGCTCGTTTTCCAACTTCGGGAAGAGCACCTCGCTCTATGCGGCTTTTGTTTCTATCTGGCTTGTCTATCTTATGCTGTCTGCCGGCCGATAACGAAAAGGTGGATGCCAAAATGACTGAAAATGAAAAAAAAAGAAGCAAAGACATTGCCGATGAGACCCTTGAACAACTCCTTGCACTCCCTCTCTTCTCCCTTGAAATGAGGGAGAGGCGTGTCGGAAGAGTTGTCTGGACTTGCTTACTCCGTACCTCCACTACCCCAGCATATGTAACTTTGCCGCCACGTTGCGTAGGGGGGGGGGGGCGCTGGATATCTCGTTCATTAGCTCACATTATCCGCCATTAGCTCACTATATAAAGCCCTAGTCCCATTGTCGTGTATTTTCGAAGGCACGACTGTGACACTTGGAAGCTACTCTATCCTGTCCACAGAATAGATTGTAGTTCCTCACCTGGGTTGCTGCCTTAACGGGTTTTAGTTCTCCTCGCTTTCCATCCCACCTAATGCACCAGTTACCACCTCAGTTTTTGCATCCGGCGCTTAACAATTTATCATACCATTTGTCTTGGAGCAGAAAAATTCGAAATGCTTTTCGATTTCTATAGAACCGTGATCACTATGGTTGCTCAGCCATCAGCTTGTGATTAACAAAGAAGCCACAATGGTTTACCCTCACTTAAGCACTACTACTTGAGCACTGTGCATGGCATACCTTCATCAATTCCACTGCGATTTCGTGATAAGTGCAACTAAAAAAACTTGAGTCATAGATTAATTGAAAACAGAGGATCAGCATTCCATAGGCTTAAATGTGAGCGTCATTTTGTAGGAGATTTCAGGTTTCAGAGAACCGCAGTGCAGCCCAAATGAGGCACGTTGCATCGCACTCTACTAGAAGGTGCCGAGAGGGAGAAACAAAAAGAGACCGCGAGTGATAGAAGTATGTGACGTATATTCCCTGCACTACATTGATTGATGTAGTGTAATTAAATAGTACTCCTTTTTCGATCTTTAGAAGCTGCTGCGAAACGGATCGTCATTGTGAAGAGAACGTAAATATCGTGCTTTTAGGACAGGGATAGGGATTTTTCATAGATATTTTTTGCTGAAATCAATCAACACCATTTTTCGTGAAGTTTGCGCGTCCTTCTTCTCCGATTAAAGGCACGTCCGATTAAAGGCACGCTCGGATTAGGCGCGCTCGCCTGTTCCATCCCGGGGGTAGTAGACAGGCGGACAAGCGTTGATGTCGCGCCCCTTTTGCCGCTTGAAAGTGCGCGACAAAGGCGCAAGGAGCTCGTCCGACCCGCAACTCACACCTTCGTCCGCAAGCCCCACCCTCCGCTGTCGTTGCCACGTGGCGCTGCTTGAAAAGCGCGGGCGCATTTGAGGCAGCGGTCCCAATTGCGACCCTAGGTTCATAACTAAACGCTTTTCCACGCCTCTTTCATCCCGAATCTTGTCTTTAAACAATACTGTAACAACTTGCGCTTCAAAAATGACGCGGAAAGCCAAAAAACATTCATGCCAGCAGAAACGTACAAAATGAGCGATATATTCAAGAACCGGTTAATATGATGATATACTGAGACTAGGAACAGCTGCTAGTGTGACAGAGGCCTGACGCCTGGACATGGCGGCAAGCGCCATGAGGTTCTTGCGGTGTTGCCAATTGTTGGGTGTGGTTAATCATGCTCAAATGAAAAGTTGGCACGTGTACGTTAAAAGAATGCTTGTATATTTGATAAGGAACTGAAATTGTAGCGCAAAGAATCTGCCAGCCAGAGTGCTTCAAAAGATTTGCAGGCGCTATGCCCTTGAGCAGGGTGAAAATCGTGTCGAGTACGTGGTCGCAGAAGTACGACCCCCCCCCCCCCCGAAATCGAGATCCTGGCACGACCCCAACAGAGCAAATTAATTCAATTAATTAATCAAAATAAATCCTGCAAAATAAATCAAAAAAATTCCTGCAAAATAATGTTATGGACGCCTCATCTTGTCATCTATGCACTGTCTTTCATCGCTGCACACTTTTGTGTATTACTGAAATATCGACTCGAGGAAAGAGGCATTAACTTTGTGTGACCTCAAGTCAGGTTCGTTCAGAAATCCTGAAGGCACGGGGTTGCGATTTAATCTTAATTCCTGCTTGAGTATATCGAAACAGCCGAGTGTATCAATCAACGGCCGATTCAACGGCAGCTGCGGCGCGATTGTCACTGGGTCAGATTTGCTGAAATCCCGAAAAAAACCGTCGAAATCTACACCCTCGATGAAAAGGTTGCATTCCTCCATTTCATAACCTTTGAAGCAGTTTGAGGTAGGGTTAGATAGAGCTGGATTTCGCGTTTCCAAGAAGCATCGAAATTGCTCTGAAAGCCTTCCATGCAGAAAGATAGGGTCTCTCAAATTTCGTCGAGTAAACGTCGAGGACGCTGAAATTTTCACGCGAGTTTTTGCCACTTCAAGAGCAATATCTCTCTTAAACGTGAGATCCTGAAAAAGTGAAGATAGTTTTGGAAAGCGGAAGGTTTGCGCTTTCTGATGGTCTTCTTAGCTTTCTTCTACATTCCTAGTTGAGAAGATATCTGCGTCGAGTATGTATCGAGGACGGATCCGGCCACCTGAAAATCCGCTCCCTTCTTCACCATTGCAAGTGTAATTGTTGGCAACGCTTGAAATGGGTCTAGAAAACATCCTCCCAACATAAGCAATAGGAAAAGGGGCAATCGTCATCATCGAATTTTGTCTGAGTATAGGCCATGCATCCGACCTCACTCGAAGTTGCAGAATCGATTCGAAGGTGTCATATGATCATGACCAGTTGACAGAAGCTGCATTGTAGTAAACGCATTTCGTAACTCCTACAACCTGAAGAACAACTTCATTTGCCCAGGCTTTTCCTTCACGGTTGTCGTTTTTGCGACAGGGTCCCTAACAACAGTGTCATTCTCAGCGAGGTATTAAGGGAAGGAGCGAGCGATAGGCAGAGGAGGTGCCTTTGCAGCGCGTGCGCACATGTGGCAGTCTTCTTTGCGGGGATGCACTTTCATTTCTTTGTACTGCCTTCAAATACGCCCTTCTCATGAAGGTGGAGGAATGGAGCGACTGAACCTGCAAAGAAAATTTAATATCATGTTTTTTCAGATATTTTCATTTTCTGCTGCGCTATACCCTCTTACCTATCTGCACCATGATACCACTGCTGTTACTGACCCCCAAGAGTACGACCCCCCATGGACCAGCCCAACAGGTACGACCCCCCTGTCGAGGATTTCCTCGACCGATATTCACCCTGCTTTGGGGGGGGGGGACATCACAACAGAGCTGATGTTAGGTGACACTTGGAAGCTTTTCGGGGCTTGTTACCGCGCACTTCCCTAGCGATTCGCTATGTTCGCAAAGTCTGACACCAGCTTTAGTTGGGTTCATGCTTGAAATAGGGCGGAAGCGCTGGCTTATGAAATGTTCTGAGGCATAGATAATCAGAGTTTCATGTTCCCCCCAACGACAATAGGTTTAGCAAACTGTTGCCTCATTCTACTATTGATTTTACCTTTCTTATTTCCACTGAAACGTCCTTTACCAAGCAGTAGACACACATTGAAGAGGACGAAGAGGCGGCTCAGGCCTGGAGAATTGCGTACACGAATTATGTATACGTTCGTTCCACTGCTGGCGTACTATTGCTTTTGAAAATTCCTAATAATTCTTTCTATGAAATCCTTAATCCTTGCTAGGAAAACTTGAGTCAAATTGAAATCATGTGCACTGCATTGAATCAGCAAGGAAATACAGAATGAGGCCCCAAAACTACCACTCCCACATGGAATGAAATGAGTTACAGATGCCACAAATCAAACGGTGCAGGTTCGGTCACCTCCCGGACGAAGTGTTTTGTCCATAATCAGATCTTTGCGATAAACTTCTGTAAAGCGAATCGCAGCAAAAACAGCAGTTAACAAAAAAGCTGATCAAAATCCAGCATGCGTCATTTCGGTAGTTCCTTGTATGTACTTCTCCCAGAGTTGGTGAAAGTGCCGCTGTGTAAAAAGGTATGTTTCCAGGAAACTACGTTGTAGGCAAACCTCGATGCTCGCGTCGACAGAGTATGGGATTTCCTGAGTATATTCAACAGTATTTAATATTATTCAAAGAGCATGTCTGCATAATTAACACATGACGACCGTTTGGTATGATATCATACCACACTTTCACATGGAGCAGACCAGTTCCCCTTGATTTTTTGGCGTTTTTTCTGTTCCATAACGGTCCATGTATTCACATTATTGAATCCGAAAAACAATTTTGTCATAATTTTTAATGAAAACGCTGAAGGATTACTGCCTGAGAGAATAAATGAATGTGAAAGAAACACGAAAAATGTCGAAGCAGCGCGCGCACAACGGCGGAAGTCGACGTGTTAACTGCCTGAGCTCTTGTGTTGGTGACCGTGATGAGTGGTTTCTTGCCATTATCGCTGCCAATGATCTTGAGGCGTATGAAATGCGCAGATAAGAAATAAGTCAGGCTTTTGAGAACAGCATCGAAGTAGACGAAGGGTGCTTCTCATTTCTTTATTGCATGCTTATGTAGAGTATGGTTTTCATGATTCATCTCCTGATAACTTTCCAGAGCGCAATTAAAGCGGATGATTTGCCCGTGGCGAGGACAAATCATTTCCTACGAAGTATCAATTCATTTCAAGAGGGGAGCAGCGACTGTTCGTGAACATGAGAATGATTCACACTTCTGTGGCTCGCTGAAGATAGATCAAAATCGTAGTGTACAGCATTTGAATACAGGGTGGCTAATAAATATGGTGCACATTTCAAAAGTCCATTTTAGGTCCCCTATCAATAGCAGATCAGAACGTTCAACATCTCTCTATCGTTTAACAATTGCTCATCTTGCGAGCAGTGGTTTATCAGCGTTAGAGATTGCTCGACGACTTCAGATGCCCTCAATAACCCTTCAGCAGTTGATCAAGCAATACCTAAAGGACGAACCATCGAGCGAAGGAAAAGGACAGGGCGAGCACGTACTAAGAACACCCCGCGGATACGCAAGGTCATCAAAAACAGAATTGTTCGCAATGATGAAGTGAGCCTTAACAAAATTGTCTAAGGATCTTGGAATTTCACGTAGAACCGTCCAGGTAATTGTTAAGAGGGATTTCCCCCTTCATAGTTACCGGATTTATCAGGGTCATACCCCTACGAAAGCTGATATGAAGAATATGTTTAGAAGGCCAAGATTTTGCTGAATCAAACTCGGATATTTGGCCATCTACACTCGTTCAAACCCAATGGATTTGCGGTGTGGGGCTTCTTGCAGCAGAAGATGCCTTCTGAGCAACATCGAAGTTTGGACTCCCTGAAGGCTTCCTTGGAGGAGGCGTGGAAGGAACTCGACGTCAGCTTCTTGCGGCCCACGGTGATGTCAGTTGAGAAGAGACTTGAAGCCTGTATCGCTGCCGAAGGAGGCCATTTCGAGCACCTTCTTCAGTAATGATTGTTATGTTTTACGTATATAAAAATAAACTTCTGAAGATGTAATAGCTTCTCTTTGCAAAAATATGGTCAATAAACCATGCGCCAATATTTAGTAGCCACCCTGTAGTAAAACAGTAGGTAATTGGCATGTTGACTGGAGAATCAACCTGACAACCAGAGGTTCTTTTACAAACACAACTCTTCAAAATAGCGGAACATGGAG